AATATAATAATAAATATATATTATATTGTAATTATTTATATTATATTATATTATAATATAATATAGTTGTAATCTTTAACTATCCATAGTAATTTAACCTCATAATTTACCAAACACTATTACACTGATTTTAGAACCAGCACAGCTACTATAATTATAGTTTACCAAACACTCAGTTGTTTTTTATAACAGCTGCTTCTTCCTTCAGCACAGTTAAAAGTAATTTTTTCAAAATCTACAGCACTATCAAACTAAGCCAATGTACTTTAGGAAAGTAGGTTCATAGAAAGTAAAAAAAAAGTGATTGGGTGTATTTAGAACTCATTTTAAAATAATTTTATTTTTTGTATGAAAATAAAAATGAAAACGTTTTCAATCTTAGACAAAAATTATTTTTAAAAATGCGTTTGATAATTTTATCAAGAAATTATTTTCAGTATAAAAAAATTTATTAATGTCTTCCTCTCTCTACTCAAGAGAAGAAAAAACGAAAACAAAAAATAAAAAATAATTAAAAAATTATTTTTATTTTTATTTTTTAATTTTAATTATGTTAAACCTCATTTCCCTTATATTTTTCTTTTTTCTTTCTGACAAAACTTAAAAAATAAAAACAAAAATAATTCTAAAGACAGCCGTAGTTTTCCGCTTCTAAAAGTTTGTATTCAGCTTTTTTAAATGTCGTTTCTGCGTCAAACGAAATACGTCGAGTCGCTGATAAACGGCATGACGGCATGTAGTGGATTGGCTAATGGCTCCGTCTTCTCGTGAGAAGAACTGTCCGACATTTTGCTTGTGGCCACTGTCGAGACAAAACAACCATGAGTTTATCCCTCAATCTTGGCGTCGCTCCATCTCTTCATTCGTCTGCATTTCCGACTCATACTTCCAACATCAAAGTAAGTTCCTTTATCTTCCCTTCGTTCTTTCTTTATTTCTTTCTTTCCTGTTGCGTTTGTCTGGTTTTAGTCTTCTTAAGTTCGTAATTGTTCAACGGAAAAAGGTAGATAAAGCTTCCCATTTGGTAAATTCAGTTCTAACTCAACCAATTCCAACTGCCCAGAAATCCGATGGACCATTTGGAGCGAAATTGCCGAGTTTAATTGCTGCAGACAAAACACAGCTCAGGTCTCAGAGACAAGCATTGGTTGATATCTTACGTGATTGTGCCGACAAAAAGTCATCGGAAATGACGAAAGCTGTTCATGCGCTTGTGTTGAAATCCGAATACTCGGTGTCGGACTTGTTAGTCTTGTTAAATCATGTGGCACATGCCTATGCGAAATGCATGGATTTTAGCCTTGCTCGTCAAGTGTTTGATAAAATGTCGCAGAGAAATATATTCTCTTATACTGTTATGATTGTCGGGTCGACAGAGAATGGCTCGTTTTATGATGGGTTTGAGTTCTTTTGTGAGATGGTGAATCGAGGAATTTTGCTGGACAAATTTGCATATTCTGCTATTCTCCAGACGTGTATTGGTTTGGATTGTGTTGTGTTGGGTAAAATGGTGCATGCCCAGATTGTTGCAAGTGGGTTTACTTCTCAGGCTTTTGTTAGTGTATCTCTTCTTAACATGTATGCAAAGCTCGGGTTGGTAGAAGATTCATATAAGGTGTTCAAGTCCATGAGAGAACAAAATCAAGTGTCGTGGAATGCAATGATTTCGGGGTACACGTCGAATGGCCTTCATTTAGAAGCATTTAACCTTTTCCTCGACATGATGTATGAAGGAATTTCAACTAATATGTACACAATCATTAGCGTATCGAAAGCAGTTGGTCAGTTGGGTGATATTGATAAGGGGAGAGTTGTTCACCGTTATGCGTCTGATCATCATTTGGATTCCAGTGTTCGCGTGGGAACTGCTCTAATAGACATGTACTCAAAGTGTGAGTCTTTATCCGATGCAAGATCTATTTTTTATTCTAATTTTGCCAACTGTGAAGTCAATACGCCATGGAATGCATTGGTTTCAGGCTATTCGCAATGTAGGTATAGCCAAGAAGCTTTGGAGCTTTTTGTGACAATGTGCGCAAACGGTGTTCAACCAGACCTTTATACTTACTGCAGTGTGTTCAATGCAATAGCTGCTTTGAAATGTATGCGTTTTGGAAAGGGGGTTCATGGAATGGTTTTAAAATCTGAATCAGAAATTAAGACAAGTGTTTCTAATGCAATTGCTGATGCATATTCTAAATGTGGGTTGCTTGAAGATGTAAGGAAGGTTTTTGATAGCATGGAAGAGAGAGATTTAGTGTCTTGGACAACTTTGGTTACTGCTTACTCTCAATGTTCTGAGTATGAGGAAGCGCTAATCAGCTTCTCAAAAATGAGGGAAGAAGGCTTTATACCCAATCAGTATACTTTTTCTACTGTGCTTGATGCATGTGCTAGCCTTTCATCGCTTGACTATGGTCGGCTAGTCCATGGTCTTCTATGTAAGTCTAGCCTGGATGATGAGAAGTGTACAGAAAGTGCTCTAATCGACATGTATTCTAAATGTGGTTGCTTAACTGAGGCGAAAAAGGTTTTCGAAAGAATTTCTAACCCTGATACTGTTTCATGGACTGCAATAATATCAGGTTATGCTCAACATGGTCTTGTGGAAGATGCACTACATCTCTTTAGGAGAATGGAGCAGTTGTGTATGGAGGTGAATTCTGTTACCTTATTGTGCATTCTATTTGCTTGCAGCCACAGGGGTCTTGTGGAGGAAGGTCTTTATTTTTTTCGTCAAATGGAGGAATGTTATGGTCTGGTGCCAGAGATGGAACACTATGCTTGCATTGTTGATCTCTTGGGCCGTGTAGGCCGCCTTGCTGATGCCATGGAGTTTATTGAAGAGATGCCGATTGAGCCCAACGAAATGGTATGGCAGACCCTGTTGGGAGCATGTAGGGTCCATGGAAATGTTGAGTTGGGGGAGATTGCTGCTGAGAAGATTCTTGCCATTCGGCCCGAATATTCAGCTACCTATGTTCTCCTTTCCAATACATACATGGAGACGGGGAGTTATGACGATGGAATTAGCTTAAGACATATGATGAAAGACCGGGGTGTAAGAAAGGAAGCAGGATGTAGCTGGATTTCTATCAAAGGTGAAGTTCATAAATTTTATGCAGGAGATCAATTGCATCAACAAAAAGATCACATATATGCAAAGTTAGAAGAATTGAGGACAACTATCAAATCGATTGATTATGTACCTGACTTGAGTTATGAGTAAAGATCTGAATTCAAGGAGAAAATTTTTGTTACCTGATGGAAGCTGACAAAAAAGATGTGCTTTAACATGCCTAATGCCTTTCGACCAACATACTGTACTGTCTGTGAGCATAACTACTTTGAGACAGAAACCAAAACCACCACCTTTTTCATCGTGAAGAAGTTTTAACTGTTTCATAGAAGGCTGATGCTAGTGACTAAAAGTAGAGGCTTTTTTCCAAAGCAATTTAACAGAAAAAAGATATAAGGTTATTGAGCAAAGGACACGGTCTTCTGATGAGTGTAGATAGAGAGGGTCGAATCGAGGAAAAAATAACCATATTGAGGACTCCGAGCAATTTCGAAAAATGACTTGCCTTTTCATTCCCTTTTTAAGACATAAAGTAAAGCAATCCTCAACTTGTAGAAATTTAAAAAGGTCCATGAGGCAACACAGCCGTAACTTCACAGCAAAGACAACATGATGAGACACTGTACTTAGTCGAGGATCTTCAAACAAAATTCTTGTAGAATTGCATGAAGAATTGCATTGTAAAAGTCATGTTGTTTCTTTGAATTTAGATTGCATATCAACTACATAATCATCCTTATCATCTAATGAAGTTAGAGAACATGTCAATCGGTTGTACTCTGTTGATGCTCTTCAATTCGATCTTATTCGAGGTTGATTGGTAAACATGGTGCCGATGGTTTTTACGTTGCAAGTCGGTTATAATAGTTATGGTTATTGTCATTGTTCTAGAAACATGCTCTTCGTTTATTCATTACTTCAATTCCAAACATGATGCAGTTGCAACATTCAATCAAAATTGTTGTTCATTAAGAGAAGAAAATCCTGCTTTCTTGGATAACAAATTGGCCACTTGATTTATTCTTGTCTGTGGGACTAATTAAGAGTCAACAAAGTATGCCATGATTGGCAAAGACTTCTCAGCATCATTAGATTGCATGCTAAAAATGAATGCTCAACGTTCAAAAGAGTGTAAGACAATAAACATTCATTTTTCAAATGCAAAAAAAAAAAAAAAAAAAAAAAAAAAGGAGATAGAGAGATAAAAGATAAAGTTCTCCATTCACAACTAAACTTCTTTAATACTTGTCAATAAAATAAAAATTAACATTAAACAAAAACTCCTCTAATGACCTTTGGGGCTTAAGAAGAATTTGGTAGCAGAGGAAATTAAACATGCAAGTGGCCCAAAATGAAGCCTATCTCTCTGCCTTTCACGTACTAACTACAAGACGCAAACTGTTGAAAACAGCCTTCGAAACGTCTCATAGATATGGGCTTAGCAGGTATCCATCAGTGCCATTTTGTGTGGTTTTGGTTGTTTCCTCTGAAGGAATTGCTGGTTCCATAACATGTGAGTAAGGCAAAAAAAAAAAAAAAGAAAAAAAAAAGACAAATCAAACGTACAATATCTGTAATATGATCCATATAAATTTAGAGACTAATAAATATATATATATATATATATTTCTTTTTTTCTGATCGGTGTAATAGTAATCATATTATGTTTGATAGCTACAATCGTCCCCGTGACCCTAAATCTCGCATTGCATTTTGTCACGATTATTAGGGTAATTTGCTCAACACCAAGTACTCCAACAAACGTACATTTGCACCCATCACAACTCAATCTGCTGATTGTGGACAATTGCTTCCAAAGATGCATGAGTACAACAAATTTAGAACCTTTCCTTGGACGTGTAATCAAGGAGTTAAGGGCCACCGTGACGGAGCACGCGGACGAGAGGCCAGCATGTCATCATCCCCTTCTGGTGCAGCTTGGCATTCAAGGAGTAGTAATTACCTCACCAGCACATATGGGATTGAGTTTTTTCCCGAGTCTGTCATAGTACGGGAGTCTCCTTGGCACTGGGTCCGCTTTTTTTATTTTATTTTTATTAATTAAGATGTGATGTAATTAACAGAAGGGCATGTTACGTACGGGATAGATTTTCACTACTAGGGAAAAAGCCTTGATATGATTCCTGATTAGGTGGAAATTTTTGTTCAAAAAAAGGACAAAGCAAGATAGCTGTCCGAAGTATGTAAAGCTGTTTATTTGTTTGCACGGATGACACTATATTGCACAAAAGCTCAAGGCAGTTTGTACGCAATAGACGTTAGCCAGAATTCTAAGAATGACGACCTCTGGAAAGTGACCTCTTTTATTCTTCCTAGCTAGAGAGAGAGAGAGAGAGAGAGAGAGAGAGAGAGAGAGAGAGAGTTTTCCTTGCCATATGAAAGTGACTCCTTATCTCCATTCATATAGTTTTATGAATAAATGAATTCAGAAATTAAGATGAAATATTCATTCATATATACACTCTCATTATTGATTACAGTTTAGTGAGCATGTTATGTTATTCTGGTTTATATATTTATTTGAAGTGTTTGATATGTGTATTATGTATATATATCCAACCAAACTTCTGGGCGCTTTTTGTTGTTTATATTATCCTTGAAGATTCTTGAATTGCCAACTCTCTCTCTTTCTCTCTCTCTCTCTCTCTCTATGAACAACAGAGGCACCTATCACTCAACTTTATACTTTTATTGAATTTTGTTTCTGTTGTCACATTTGCATGTGAATGTACTTTCCCGAAGTGCACAGCTCACGTGAGTTTTGCTAGCAAGTCACAAGAATCATATAATGCTGCTATAGATATACAGGATAACTTATATATTAACAAAAGAACAAAAAAGGAAAAAAAAAATACAGTGACATGGACAAAATTTCTGTAAACAAACATCGATGAAAATGAGCAACTTTGATTATTGATCCCACAGTAGTAATTATAACTACTTATTGATTTTTTTTTAACTTCTTTTTTACCACAAGAATTTCACAGATTTAAGGGGTTTCAAGCAAAGTGCATTATCCCAGCTTGTCATTTTATAAGAGATTTTATATTAAAAGGGCTCATTTTTTATTTTTGTTTTTTAATGTAATGTCACGAGAAACATTTCTGAAGACATTATTTGCTTTCAATGCATTATTGGCCTTATAATATATTCCTTTTTTTGTTGTTATTTTGTTTTTTTTTTTTTTTGCCTTTTCTATTTTCGTTTTCTTTTGACACATGATTGAAAATATACAATAATTAATAATATATTTTATTGATAGACACTTACCAGCTGGTCAGCAATGCACCATCCATAACCACACCTTGTTAATATGGGATTATATGTTGAAATGAATTTAAAAAAAAAAAAAAAAGGAAATGACAGTATATACGATGTCCAGAACTACAATATGTTGTTAATATCATATTTGAGAGAGAGAGAGAGAGAGAGAGAGAGAGAGAGAGAGAGAGAGAGAGAGACATGAAAAGCATATATGTCAGAGTCCGATTATACCGTAATCATTCTTTTCTCCCTTATTCATTCTATCACCTTGAACATGTGAATAACAACAACAGAATCCATACAAGAATCTGTTTAATCAATCTCCAACTTTTTGGAAACAAATACCAAGGTTAAAAAAGAGCTTAAGCTTTCTGTGTTTGATATATAAACATGGATCCGTACGATAATCAGATATAATCATAAAATATTGTAGGTTCATTCTTAATGTATATATTTCCATGATTTCTTCCTAAATTTCTTGGTGAAATATGTAAATAAGATTTCAAAATCTGATGAAACTGATCTCGCAATAATAATAATAAAGAAAAAACCCTAATGAAACTCAATCTGTAGAGAAAATTTGCTGTATAAATTCGCGGTACCTGCAGTTATAATATATATATATATATTTTTTTTTTGTTCACTCATCAGCAATCGATCATATGAATTATTGATCTTGGAACAAAAAGTTGAGAAGATTCGGACTGAAATGAGCCAAATACAAATTAATCTCATTCTCTTTCACGTTGAAATATGTATTGATCAAACAAAATTTTAATAGGAGTGTCAAGACAAATTGCTTATCTGTTAAATTTGTATTTTTCCCACTTTTTTCCCACTATTATCATATTAGATAAGCATCCAGTCGCGCTCATTTGACAAATTTGCTGCAGTATCATTGTCAAATTTTGAATCATACCATAAATTAGCATATTTACATGTGTGCTGTCCATATTTTCTCAAGTTAATTATTTAAAAAAAAACCAAATCTGATTATTAATTATAATTACTTTATAGAATTATGAACAAATAAAAATAAAACACCAAGAACCTCCTATCTTTATGGAGGACTTTTTCCCAGGATCATGTAATGACGGTGTTTTTCTAAACCAGGTTTCTAGTTCCATGTGCTTTAGTACTAGTTACTACTTTTACTTCATATGGACCACAGCCATCTATTGGTACTAGGAAATAATAGAAAGGCATTCCTAGTAAATATTGTTTTTGTTGTAAATATTATTTTTTTTTCAATTGAGTTTTCATTGTTACTATTTTTGTTGGTGTAAAATTTTCTCTAACACTAAAGAGAACACCGTTGAATTTGTAATCCTGATCAAACGGATGTTTTGACCGTGGAACGTTGTAGAAACTCTCTTCCACTGTTACTGACTACTTAAGCATCGGAGTCTTATTAGTATATACCCTACAATTTGCATTTTAATTATTTGTACAATGTTCTTATTAGTAATATCAATGTGTTCTTATCACGTTTTTATTATTATTATTATTATTATTATTATTATTACTGTTCGTTTGATTCAGATTACAAATGCAAGAACATACTAGTAGCATAGGACGGAATTAGTGCCAACAATCATGCTCTTTTTTTTTCCAATTAATTAAATATAAAGTATAACAGAACTCATTTCCGTAGTTAGAAACAAAAGGTTAAGATATGGACAGGCAGAATTAATACAGAGTTCTTGAATTATCTGATCACAATTGAGGTTCCGTTCATTTTACCGATTCGAATTTTGTTATAATTTAAAATTCTCAGAAACAATCACATTTACCTTTTTTCTACTTACATAAAATTACATCTCAACTCGAATCAACGAACTAAACGGACCCTGAGTTCTTGAATTATTTGATCACATTGTAACATAGTCTATGCCTCATACATGCACCGATTATTCCTCATCAATTGATAATTAAAGACCTGACTATAACAAAAAAATACAAATTAGTATGATAGTGTTTGAAGGAAAGGAAAAAAGAGAGAATATACAAAATATATATAAAAGAGCAATTTGTACTTTAAAAGAAAAGAAGAAGAAGAAAATTCACTGTGAATTAAAAAAAAAAAAAAACCTAGCTAGCTAATAATAACCCTAGAATCTATAAAACTCTAGGAATTGCAACGATTAACTTTACGGAAGGCAAGAGACAAGGTTGGAGCAGGGTATATGTATGGAGAGTATTGTTTGGTTGTAATGATTAATGGCACACATGTGAATAGGGGGTGAGTACGTGATTTGTCCTTTGTAAGCAATAAGGAGCTGCTCCAAACTTGCTTATATGTATTTATCGCAACAGTACTGTGTCTCTGCTATGTGATATATTTGTCTGATATACTCTCCTCACATAACATATATATATATATATATAAACACGTATATATATATATATCTAATATGACTTCTCGTGATCAATAAGCAGAGATTGGAAATTAATATATATGTATATATATATATATAGCACTGAATTCTTCCAATATATAACATGATATGTACAATAGTACCCCATGCGTGCGGTAAAAAGGGAATAGTCAATGTGCAGAATACATGCTTATTAGTTATTATACTACATATATATTAGCATTAAATGGATTGGTAGCATTCAAGCGTAATCATTAGATTCTAGAAATAAATTGGTATACTAAATAATGTTGTGCCTAAGTTAAAGTTAGCTAGCTATGCGCTTTTATTAGTGAAGTTGGATATCTCTTTTACAAATATTGTTATACATGAGAATACATCATCATCATGATTCATGAGTTTCTTTCTGATTATTAATAAACTGTACATGCCTGCTGTCCTGATAATCGTGCATGCAAATTAACTTTGTTCTTGCATGGGATATATATATATATGTATAGATATATATATATATAAGAAAAAAAATGAAAATAGTAATAGTAAATGCAATTTGTCATTAGATATGGGAGAAGCGATTGAGATTTGAGAAGCTAGCTAGCAAGGTTAAAAAGGCACGTGTGGAGAGAGAGAGAGGGAGAGAAGACAAGAGAGTGACGGCTGGTGAGAGAGAAGAAGCTTGGAAGTAATAAGACGTGTGTGTGTGTGTGTGAGTGAGTGAGAGAAAGAGAGAGAGAGTAGCCTAAGAAAGCCCCCGTGAGGAGTGTTTGGAGGCATTCCAAAATCACAACTAAACATCCTTTTGTTTCTTCTCTTCGCTTCTTTCGATGGCTTATTTTCACGCCCTTCACTCTCCAATATCACGAGCTCATGATTCCACTTTCTCTCCCCGAGCCCCCTCTAGCTGCTTATTTCCATTTTACTAATGTACATTTCCGCTTTTACCCTTGTATATAATAACAAATATATACATATATATATATATATATACATGCATTTTCATCAGTAGCGAAAAGAAAATATATGCATTTTAATTTTTCTATATTTATGATTACCATCCATTTTTAATGCAGGATCAAAGCTATTCTCAAGTGGAGAATCAAGATATGATTGTTTATATCTTTTGACGTACAAATAATACGTCAAAAGATAACTATTTGCAGGCCACACCGATCATGTACTTGTTGTATTATAGACACACACAACACTAAAGAGTAGAACATCAGTGAAATTAAACAAACTTTACACCTAAATTTATTAATAAAAGAAAAGAAAACTAGCTAATAACTTGTCTATACTCAAAAACTAATAAAAGGCATGATCAAAATTATAAATTTTCTAAAACTAACAAAAACTATAAGTACTACAAATTAAAGGACAAGTAAGTTTATGTTGATTTATCTATTTTTCTTTCTCCCCTTTCCCATAAGCATTAATAATAAACCTTAAAATTATATATGCGATTAGATTGTGCTTTCCCCCTAGCTAAAAGAATAATATTCGGAAATTTGATTAGTTTTTCATTCAAGTTTGATGCTTTAGAGATGACTTACATGCATATTCACATATAGATATCAAATTTTAATGCTAAACTCTTCAAACTTAACTTTTCGGAATCAAGGGTTTTCTTGATATATATAATACCAGGCTTTCTCAAATTTAGTGTAGTCACTTTATTCTAACAGATGAAATTCCTAAACTGAATATGTTTAGAGTGCGATCGATATATGCTCATGCCATATGTGATTTGTACAAAATATGTATACTTTCTATTTCATATTGATAACTTGTTCACTTTTTGAGACCATTAATTTGTAGTAATTGTAGGATGATATACATATATGTATGTATACACACGTGCATATACTAATAAAGGTTTGGAAAGATGTGGAGAGAAGCTAGCCAATGCGATCATGATAGATAGTCCTTCTAAATATACATCAATTGGTGTCATATTATCAACGATAAGCTTTTATATTTGGTTGCCGTGTTGCTTCCTTGGATATATACAAGCCTTATTTAGTCCATAAATATAAAATTAAGAGCGGTACTGTTTAGGATTAATTAAAAAATCTTCTTTAACTTTTTTTTTTGAAATCTTTCATCAAATCTAATGGCATAATTAATAATCTTCTTTAATTAAAAAATATTTCATCAAATCTAATGGCATAATTAATAATCATTCAATAAACTGATTAGTTTTGTTGCTGGTCTTTAAATTTTCACTTAAGCATTTGAAGAAAAATTGTAAAAATGAGAGACGGGAAACTTTTAGCAAGTAATGAAATACTCTTGGTCTTAAAGTTTGACTAAAACGATATTTTAGTTTAGGACAGATTGACCATAGCATATATTAATCATGTGAATAATGAATTGGTGAAGCTAATTGATAATTGGTAAAAAGATGTGACGGCTCAACTCTATAAGGAAGAGGTTCATGCTCGAATTATTAGAAAAAATTTAAATTGCGCAGATAAAACTAGATTGGATCAGGTACTCTTTTCTCTCCGCTTTGTTCATTTTTTCCACTAGGTTTTGCTGGAAGAGGATTTTAACAAGATCTCTCTTAATTTTTTGATTAAGAGAGTACATCCTTTCTAATTCCCATTATTAATGTTGTCGTTTGCCTTTGTGTAGCATTTGTTTCTTGGCCATCTTGGTTATTTTCTTGTTTTGTTAGCCTTTGTAGCTGGATTCTGATTTCTTTATTTTATGTATTTTTTATAAATAAATTAGAGTAAAGGGTTTTGTTAAAGTATAAAACTATTGTTGGCCCACCTCTTAACAGCTTAAACTTTTAGGATGGATTGGTAAACTAATATGGTATCAGAGCGGGAGGTCCTGAGTTCAAACCCTCGTAATTGCATTCTTTATTCTCATTTAAATTGTCATCATGTGTTGTGTTTTTAATATATCTTGGGCTTAAATATTCACGTGTTAACACCTCCTAACAGCTTAAGCTTTTGGAATGGATTAGTAAACTAACCTGTTTGATATCAGTAGGTTTTATTTCTTATTTTGTAATTATCTCTTGAGACTTGAACTCATGACTCAATTTATTAAAAATAACTTGCACATCCACTAAACTCCACTTGAGTTAGCCTCAATTGAAAAATTTGAGAAGAGTCGAGTTGATTAGTGGATGCTAACTTAGTTGAGATATGCTAAAGTTTTCTCATATCAGTACTTATGCCTCTCTTTATGTATAAAAAATCATGTAAATAATGAATGGTGGCATAATATTATGCTTAAAGTTACAGTTTGGAAATATGAATTTTTTATATTTCTTTTCTTTACTTCTCTTTTTTTTAAAAATGGAAAATATTGCATTAGAGTTTAATACAATATTTTTTATTTTTATTTTTTTGTAAAAATCACCATAAGGGTATTTTGGGTAGTACAGATAGTTTCAATAATAATAGAATTTTGTTGTGAAGAAACTGAGGCAGTCATGTGGGAAGCAAACAGGAGATCACATAGATTTGAGAGCTCATCCCCTCTTATAAACAGCTTCAGATCAGCTTTGCAGGGGTGTAAGGAAGAGAAAGAAAGCTCAATAGGTAGAAAAGAAGGAAGCTCAAAAGATAGAGCGATAGAGAGAGAAAGAGAGGAGAGAGAGAGAGAGAGAGAGAGAGAGAGAGAGAGAGAGAGAGGGATAAGAATCAATGGTTTCTAGGGAGCACAAGAGAGCAGCTCTGCATGAGAAGCTGCATCTTCTTCGTTCTATTACTAACTCTCATGCTGTAATTCCCCTTCATTCCTGAGGCCTTTGTTTCCATTGGCTTAATTTTCTTAACTTCTCTCATTGATTGAATTAACACACATACATATATTTTCTTAACTTCTCTCATTTATATATTTTGTGGCTCAAATAAATCTTGTCTCTCAATTTTGTTTTCTGATCTGGAGACCATTTAGCAGTATTTTCTTTTGGATCAATTTGTTTCCCCAACTAATATTAAGAATTATATATATATATATATATCTGCGCCTTCTTCTTTGTGTTTTCCAGTCTTCCAGGCTCTCTCTTTAATTCTAAACGATAATACTCTCTCTTCCTCAGGGTCTTGAAATTCTCAAAATGATGTCACAATCAAAAGAAAATTTATATGGTGAAAGTGTCCTTAATTAATTAGTTTGTTACGGCACAATTTATGCTAATTATTGTCACGTCTAAACATTAGCTAGAGTAAGAGGTAATGTTGTGCTCAATTATATATAACGAGAATACGGATTTTATTTTTGTGTGTGTATTACGCATATTTATATTTATCAAGCTACCTCTCATAACATGATCAACTTTTTTAATTATCTCGATTTGGAATATGTTATAAATACTCAATGCAATACTGGTTTATCCGAGATCTATATATGCAATATTAATATTTATGTTTATTATGTCGTGTGGCAGCTAAACGAAACCTCAATCATAGTAGACGCATCAAAGTATATTGAAGACCTAAAACAAAAGGTAGAAAGACTGAATCGAGGCATAACAAGTGGGCGAACTTCCAGCGACGAAAATGCGATTCCTGCGGTACTAATTTATATTAATTCATATTATGTTATCTATATATATATATGTATATTCTACGTATTAATTTTCTTTTCCATCTCAAAATTCTACTTCGATAAATATTAGCCACATTTCATTTCTCTTACTAACTTATAGTTTCCTATTTGGCCTAGCTAGCTAGCTAGTACTTGAAATTTATTTGACTGATCATTGAGAGTTCTATAACTTTGATGTTGTTCAGCAACCTAGAAAAGGGGTTTCTGATAAATGTTTTCTCCGAAAAGAGTTGCCAAGGTTTGCTTGTCTCAGTATTGGAAGCTTTTGAAGAGCTGGGCCTTAGCGTATTGGAAGCTAGGGTTTCCTGTTCAGACAGTTTCCAATTACAGGCAATTGGAGGAGAAGTAAGCCTATATTCACTTTATTTGATAGTAACCATCGATGAAAACGCATCTGTTAAAAAATCGTCTATATATATTTATGGCTACTAAACATGCATATGTAAATTATTGTAATTTTTTTCAAGCATGGTCTTCTTTTTTCCCTTTTTTACTTTAACTAACATAATATATATATGTATATATATAATATCAAAATTTATGTAATTAATTATCTTTCTAATTCTGTTCTTAATTTTGTAGAATGAAGAACAAGGTGAGAGTATGGACGCTCAAGCTGTGAAACAAGCGGTTGAGATGTCTATTAAGAGTTGGAGTGAAACCACCGATCAAGCATGATTAATATGTCCCTCATGGTACAAGTACTGTTATATAGCTCTGCTAATTACCAGTTTCTTTCAGTTTTCCTTTTCTGTTTGTAGGTCCATCGGCAATGTTATTTTTTCTTTTTCCTAAAATTTTTTTTCCTTCTTGGCCTGGAAAAGTAAGTTGGCATTTTTCCTAGACAAGTCATGAGTTCACAATGTGGTTATAAATGACCAGGAATTATCCCTTCTTAATTAATTATAAATTGTTTCGCATATATGGATTAAGATCACGAGTTATTAATATTTCCAAACTCGAAAGTAGTACTGGTATACACAAAAAGCCACCAACAATCCATTCAATAATTTTACAAAATTATTAAGCAATGACTGAATAGTACATTTTATTTTTATTTTTCATTTTTATTGAGGAATGATTCCTATATATATATATATATATATATGTCAATACTGTTTATTATGATCTTATCCGGATGGCAAACCGTCTGAGAAAATTTATCGTCGTGTGTAGGGACTCGATAGGCTATATAATTGACACTTCAGAGAAGTACACAAGTACTACTTTCCTTGAGAAGCTCAATCTAATGTTTTTATTTTCATAAGTTCAATTAAAAGAACTAATTTCAAGCTGGCCAGATATTTTATAATCCTATCTGTAGGTATATAATAATAATTGGTTTGGTACTCGTACATATAACATATACAAAATGTCTCTCGCTAAGTACTTTATTTCATTGGTTTGGATTAATTTCGACATTTCTCCAATCTCCTTTTTCACGTACTGGACGTACGATACATATAGCTGTCTATGCCTTACTGCTTATTTATCTTACTAACTAAACATACATAACACTTACTGACCTATATATGTACACGCACATATATAGCTAACAATAGTTTAGATAGTTACAATATTATTCATGACCTATATTAATGTTGAAATTCACATACTTGCATTATATATATATATATATATATACACAAGTCATGAAAAACAAACAAACGAATGATGATCGGCTAACTATGGACATGTAACAATGGTACTTTTAAAGACCTATCTTGTTTATGATTTAGCCAGCTTGGGAAAAATAATTAATACCAAAAAAAAAGAGGAGGAATTTTGATTTCTTCGACGTTATATGACTGCTGGTGATTTATAACAAATGTCTTGTGAGTATCTAAAATGATCGTGAAAATATTTAATTTTTCTATTAAAAAAAAAAGTAATCATTTTGTAAATACCCGCCAAGTGCAAAGGTTTTCAAATATATGTAAGTGTCGTTTTTGGAACTAAAATTTCCGCATCCCAAAATTTTATAATCAGATAAAATAATGATTATAATAGCATACTTCCACAAAATGCTCTATTAATCGGAGAACTGTTAAATACAAAGAAAAAAAAATTGTTGTAGTAGTATAAGAGTAAGACACATCTGTACTTTTCCCTTCAAGTCTCTCAAGATTAAAAAAAAAAAAAAAAAAAAGATTCTTGATCACATAATTTTTTTTTTTTATTTTCACTTTTTGAAAGGTCCCATATACTGAATTGTACTGTATGTTATATCAAAAAAGAATTACATAAAGCAGACTTTTTAACTGTTAAAGTTTATTTTGAGGTAGGGTTGTGTACCCAGCTAATTAATGGTGTGTTAATGGTACACGAATAATGTCTATAAGTGACGATACTTGTGTGTGTGTGTGAGTTTCCTATGAAAATGAATGCTAAAGCTTTAAATTGTGTAACACCATGAGCAAGCACCTTTGTTTAGCCATGTTCGATATAATGTGATTTTATAGTTAGTAAAGACATTAATGCATTATATTACTTGATAGAGCTAAACTGTATTTCTATTTTAAGAATACGCTTGGTTGCATGTGCAATAATGCCCATAAGATTATACATTCCCCCACTATATTTTTTTTTTATATTTTTTTTATATTGCATATAATATATATTGTTCTGAAATCAGCAGTCCCACCCCTGAATGATTTACTAAGTAATTAACTATAATTTTGTTGTTCTCATCTGATATGCCTGCAAGCTGGTCCAATACGAGAATCTAATTAAAATTTCTTAAGAACCTTTTAGCTTTTGTGTGGATTAAGAAGGAAAAAAATATTAAGAATATTATATTGTACATGTATATAGATATAATATTTGTTTTGAAGGAAATATATGTAGGTAATTATATACTTTTATATATACATGAATAGTAATAATATGAAGTTTGATTATAAATGCCTTTGATGAGGGAACAACTCCACGAAACATGGATCCTATATACAAATTAAAGCGAATCTTGTATTCATTTAATCAAAGACTTAAACAAATTACGGTCGTTAAGTCCCAATAATGCACGCATATAGACTTTAATAAGAAGCATCATAGTTACTCTTAGGTGCCAAAACTGTGTGTCAATAAATTATATAATCACGTGTTTATTCATCAGGCAACACTAAATTTTCCTGTCGGAGGCATATCTGAAAACTACATACAATTAGTACTCTGTGATTTAGAAATATATATGTGGCAAAACACGGTAAACACCTAGAGTGAATTTTTTATTATTATTAAGGGCAATTGACATGTCAGGAGCATAAAAGTGATTAGTTAATTACATGAGTGGTCATTTATATCTGGCTTTTTTTTATAAACACCCCCCTAATTTTTCAAATTTAACAATATGATCCTTATTCTTTTTTTTTGACAATTGACCCATTTGACTTTTAAATCTTTATAATTAATGTCCAATAAAGAACGACACCTATTTTTTTGATGATTCTAATCACGTGATCACACATGAGCATTTATTGAAGGTAATGTAGGTCATTTCTCACTCTAGTTGTTCGTTTACATTGATTTCATTCATTTAATCTATACGAATATAATCAGTTATGATAAATAACTTTTATTTTCTAAGAGTCATTATCCGCAACAGACATTCTAAGAGTGAGAATTGACCTTTATTGCCCTTAATAGACATTCACATGAGCCTCACATGATCAAAAAGGTCAAAAAAGGAAATGTCATTTTTATTGGACCTTAATTGTGTTTTTAAGTTGAAAGAGTCAATTGTTAAGAAAAAGATAAGGATCAAATTGACAAAGTCAAAAAGTTGAGGGGGTATTTATACAAAAAAACCTTTGTTACAATATAATATTGTGGATGAACTTTGTTATAAAAATAAATAAACCTGATCATTCGTGTGCTCAGTTAATTACTAGTCAAAAATACGCGCGAAACACTCATTTAAAACAACGATTATACAAACTACCGGAGAAGAAAAAACAAGGAAGGAAAAAAAAGATAAAAGTGGGAAAAAAGAATATCTGAAGTAAAAGACATAGAAACGAAAGACCAAAAAAAAAAAAATTAAGAAAAAAATTTGTGCGAAATGTTTTACAACTAAAGTTGTAATTTATGAGAATCATAAGTAAAAGATGTGTATTTAAGGGGTTTTTTGAGAATAAATTAATTTAACAGGTTAGTCAAGAGATAAATTCACGTAAATTCTAAATTTATGAAATTTGACCATGAGAAAATTTTAGTAAATTTCAAATTTATACCTATTTATTAGATCATCACAAAATTATGTTATTTTTTTATATCCTAAAAAATGAAGGTTTTTTTAATGTCTTTTTAAATATGTCATTTGAAAGTAGGGTTGTTAAAAAAATGTGTAAATATCCATTTAATCAATCCAATTCAATTCGTAAAATGCGGACAATCAATTAAATATGGATTATCGTAAAAAATGAGGGTTTTTTTCATCTCTTTTTAAATGTCACTTGAAAGTAAGGTTGTTAAAAAACTGTGTAAATATCCAGTTAACCAATCCAATTCAATTCGTAAAATGTGGATAATCAATTAAATATGGATTAGATTGGATGATACTTTCTCAAATCCACACTTAAGTTGATAAAGTGCAGATTAAGAAAAGGTAATCGATCAAAACCGATCCACTATAGGTGTGTATATATATAAATTATATATTTTTTTTATATTTTCAGATGTCATATGGTTTGTGCATAAAATAGAAATAGGTTAATGTTAACTTCTTCTTTTTGTCTCGTTGGTTTCTATTCCATGTTGTCTTGCTGGAAATGTTACTTTTTTCTGGATTTTTTTGGTTAAGCTTTTTTAGATTTTTTTTTGTTTCTTTAGCTGAAGGGAAGCTTTTTAGATTTCTATTGATCTAATGTGTTTGACGTTTGATTTTTTGAACTACGTATGATTGACTTTTTAACTAATGTAAAATAAAATGATTGAGATCATTATAAAACTAGTTTGATTCTATGAGTTTTTATATGAATACCCCAATTAAAAAGAAGAGTGCAAGAGAGAATGAATTACTATTGCGCGCGTACGACTTAATTGCCTGAGAGGCCCATTATCTTGACGAATAAGGCCTTTTAGACAGATAGAATACTAGTCAAGTTCAAATGTATTGCAAATAATTTAGAGAAATAGCAGAGAATAGACCAATATTAAAAGCTTAAAAAAGTATACATGTTAATTTTTAATTATAAAATTTAATAGGCCATAATTTTTTAATTTCCAAATTTACCCTTTCTTTTTTTTTCTTTCATTTTTCTTTTGATCCTCTCGATCTCTCTCTCTGTCTTAGCTGTACACGCAGCTCTCTCTCTCTAGCTTCACTTCTTTCATTTTTCTTTTGATCCTCTCGATCTCTCTCTCTCTGTCTTAGCTGTACACGCAGCTCTCTCTCTCTAGCTTCACGCATCTTTTCACCGGCGATGATCCGTCAGTCGGTCGGCCGTTCTCTTTCCTTCTCCGGTCATTTTTGAGCAGCTATTCTGGTGATTTTTACCGAACAACAGGTTTGTCTCTCTTAGTTGTACACGCAGCTCTCTCTCTCTAGCTTAACGCAGCTTTTCACTGGCGTTGATCCATCGGTCGGTTGTTCGTTCTCTTTCTCGTTGGATTTGCTCTTCTCCGGTCGTCTTTGAGCAGCTGTTCCGGTTATTTTTACCGAACAACAGCCTTGTGTATTCTTGGTTTCTAGTTTGGTTTCTAGTTTTATTTTTGTTGTATTTTTGTTTTCATTTTTTAGATTATTTCGGTTTTGTTCTCTCTCTT